GGTCCCCTGTCCCCCCTCACTCCAGGCACCAAACCAGGAAATAGCGCTTGACCTGATACCTCCATGCAAATCGGGGGAGCGGGTGGGGAGGGGCGGGGGGGCGTCCTTTCGCCCCCACCTGTGCCACACCCCTACCTGGCATACTTGGCACTGGTGCTCCCTTGCCCTCCCCAAGCCTGGTCTGCACTCACGCCCCAGCCACCCCAACCCGGGCTGCCTGTCCTCTGTGTGTCAGTGTCTCCTGGGGCCGCCAGCTCCCACCTCCAGCTGCCACAGTCCTGTGATCTGTCTGTTACTGCTGCCTGGCTGGCACCACAGAATAGGAAGGCCAAGACCAGGTGGACTAATGCCAGTGCCAGGGCTGGAGTCGCAGGGGGGTGGGAACCAGGGGAAGGAGAGAGCAGGGCTGCAGGTTTCCCCGAGGAAGAGCCCAGGGCCCTCCTTGGTTCCAGACCCTCTAGGACAGGAGGATGTCCTGTAGCCCTGGAGCCTCTGAGGGGCCTGGCAAGGCTCCACTTCTGACTTTGTATGTCACCTCCTTTGTCTGTTCTCGCCTTTTGGCATTGCCCTGGCCCTGGGAGCCCTGCCTGGGTTCCCACAAAGGCGAATTGGTTGGATCCAGCACGCCCTGCCTTCAGCTGGCTGTCCAGTGGGCTTTCTCTTCAGGGCCCAAACCTGGGGTCCACCACCTCCTTGGTAAGAAGGGAGCAGGCTTTTCTCTCAGAAACTCCTGTCAGGCAGGCAATGGCAGAAAGAGAGCAAAACATATGAATGAAGGACACTGCCTGGGGCATGCCCTCCAGGAGCCTGCCCTCCAGTGCAGTTGGCAAGACCAGACACCCACGGGACACCACTGCTGGCAGTCTGAGATGGTCCCTCCAGGGAAAAGGGAGTGCGTGCAGAGAGGGCATCCCAGAGGAAGCTGGGCCTTCCTGATTGGCCCACGTGGTGCCCCCTCCATAGGCTGTGGGAAGACCCTTGGCTAACTGGGACCACCACTCGGACCCTTCCAGAGTCCAGCTGCTTGGGCAGTACTGGTAAAGGGACAGCTGGTTTTAGGAGGAGGGAAATGCTGCATCTGACCCAGACCCTGCCCCTTCCCGCTTCACTTGACCCTTCTTCATCAGGTCACCTATTTCCACAGCCTGATTTGGGTCAATTCGTGGCCCTCACATTTTGTTTCAGCCTAGCACTGGAATCTTCCAAGGCTCTGCCTGCCTCTTCACCCCCTGTCCTCTCCTAGAGCTGAGGGGGTCACCTCCGTACAGGTGGCCACCAGCCCAGGGTCCAGAGACACATATCCTGTTCCTCCTGCCTCCTGTCTTGGGTCAGAGAAAGGGGCCTCTTCTGAACCACCTTGCCCTTGGCCCAGACTTGCGTGCTCTCTCTAGCCAGAGTCCCCAGTCAAAGTTCCAGGCCTGAAACCCATGCTTGCTCCACAACACACTCTGTCCTGACTTGGAATGCACCCCCACCAACACACACAGACTCCTCCGCTGCCTCCTGACCTGGGATACACTTTGCTCTTCTGAGTCTGAGAGCTGCTGGGCCAGGGCCAAGTAGCCCTTGGTCTTTGAGCACCTCCACCTCTCTTTCTCTTTGTATCCTCCTCCTTCTCCCCTCCCTAGTCTGAGCTAAGGCCTGCAGTCACCGTGATAGCGTGGGGACAGCCTCCTGTGCCCCTCTGTCTCACGGAGGGGGCATCTCCACTCCATCCCCAGCCCCTAAGCACTAAGCACCCAGGAAACCTGAGTTGGGCCTCTCAGCAGCCAAGGACTAATGCAGGTGAAGCGGAGGACCGGGCTGCCAGGGTATGATGTGTCCATGGTAGCAGCATAGCTGGCATGGGAAGACAGTTCAGGGCACTGGCCCGGGGGCTGGGCAGACAAAGGAGGGGGACCTTATCCTCGAGACATGTGCAGAACCCCAGAGCAGTGGAGGGGACATAGCCAGTGCCACCAGGGCACTTGTGTAGACTTTTAAAGCCATCACAAGACAGGTGGAACAGCGAGAAAAAAAAGATGCTTCATTTTGAGTGAGGACGGCATGTTCCTGAAAAGTGGCACACACCTCTCTGTGCACCGGCAGGGCTCACACTGCATAAAAAGCAAACCCTGTTTACCCCTGACTGTGGTTTGCAGTGGAGGTGCTGTACCTTCATTGCTGATAGCGCTTTGGTCTCTCTAGGCTTGAGACTCTATGTGGGACTGCCCCAGCCTTCCTTTAAGTAGCAGATGAGTTAGAGGAAGATATTTAAGTCCACTGGGGATGGCCCCAGTTCCTATAGGGGAATTCTTTTTTATAGCCGGGACCTTCGCAGTGATGAGAATCAAAAGCCTCTGATTTGTCCCTTTAGACAGGATAAAGCCAGGGTTTCAGGTGTCAGCTTATCTTAGGATGAGCCAGACTCCAAATCAAAAGTAGGAAACAGGTGGGCGATGGGATCAGGGTAGGGGAGGAACAGCAGACTTCCGGCTACGAGGACAGTGAGCCCCCTACCCAAAGGGATGCAAGATGCTAGGGGCTGCTGGGTGACTGCTCTCCAGGGCCTGACTGAGAGCTCGGTCAGCTTACAGAGTTCTTCTCTGCAGGCCTAGAGTCTCAGTGTCTCCCTGGCTGGAGTGTGAGCCCACCAGCCATATTCCTCATCCTGGCTCTGGGCCTCCCCGACTCTTAGGGACCTTTACCCCAGCCCACCCCCCCCCCCGACTGCCACCACCACTCACAGTCCTGGATGCTGAGCATTTGGAGATGATACCCTCCCCATCTGGGCACTGTGCCTCACTTCTCCATACCCACTGTACCCTGGGGGCCTAGCCTGTACCATTGGCCAACTCCTCCACCAGTAGTCGAGGTCATGGACGCAAGAACCAAGGCCTCACTGACACCTTCAAGGTCCTTGTGGTCCTCTCCTATTCCTGGCCACACCCTCAGCACAATCTTTTTCACCCTGAGAGTTTCTCTGGTCCAAACTCCTCATCAGCATCATTCCTATCCTCTCTCAGAGGGCAGGACAGCCTTGAAGGGACTCCAAAAACAGAAGGCAGAAGCTGAAGCAGCTGGGGTGGGGGCTTAGTGAGGGGGCTTCCCTCCTCTCCCTCCCTGGCCCAGCCCCTTTGCAGGTGGCACCCAGGGAGTAGTCCTATGAAGGATGGACTGAAGCAGCCTCTTTGCCCCTCGCTGTACTACTGCCCCAAAGGGTGAATAAAATTTGTGTTTTCATTCTCATTAGGTGATGGGATTAGGGGAGGAGTTGACACATTAACCCTGAACAGAGCAGAAGCCTGAAGGGTGGTTGGTAAACTGAGAGGGTCTAACAGGCCTGTGACTTCTCTCTGGGAGGGAAGAGGGCAGAGGGCTAGAGTGTGCGTGGGCATGTCTGAGAGTGGAGAGCAGCAAGCCCCAGGGGCCTGGGCAGGGTGGGCCCTGAGGACAAACCTGCCTGCTTTTGGCGCACGAGGAGGATAAATGCCTGGAAATTGTGTGCTAGTGAAGGAGGAATCACGAGCGCCAAATAGCCAAGGAAGGAAAGGGAGCATGGGATTCTGGAAGCAGGGAGGAAGGAAAGGTAGAGCTGTCAAGGGTATAATTGGGGGGCTAGCAGCCAGTGAGTGGTTATATGGAAACTGTGAGCTGGTAGTGGAGATTCCCAGATGGATGGAAACAGGTCTCAAGAGACAGGGATACAGCTGAAGGTGAATCCGATGGTGCGAGGAGAGGGAGACAGGAATTCATGATCACTGGCCTCCGAAGCTGTATTTCTGCAGACCAGCCCTGTCTGGGGCATGGCACAGGCACTCTGCCAGGCGGCCTCTTGCCCACCTCCATCGCCTCTCCCAGCTCTGCCTGCCTCCGACGGCTCGGCTTGTCTGTGGAGTGCCAGCTCGCTTGCTCTGGCTGGACTGCAGCCTCCACGAGAGGCTGCCCCCATGCCTTGTCCCTCATCGCACCCCAAAACACCCAGCACCACTCGGATTCTGTCGGCAGGGCTTGATCTGGCATCAGGAGGCTTCTACTCTAAACCAGATGTGAACAGATGTAGAGAGGGGCCCCCTAGAGCAGAAAAGAAGCCAGCTGGGATTGGAATGAAGGGAATTTGCATGAGACACAAGATGAGGGTATGATCTGGGGATGAAAGGAGGTAGGGCAAAGAGGGTACCAACAATAGCAGCCCAGTCCCCTCCCTATACACTTGCTGCTTCAGGTGACCGTTCACTCTTCTGTATTCTCATTCATTCATGCAATGTTCATTGGCCTCCAAATCTAGTCACAGGCTGAATAGAACCCACCATAAGGCACACAGAGTCACAGACACCCCCTTACCTCCCCAGCCCCCAGCCACACCCACAGGGAGGCCACAGGAGCAAGTGAGCCTCGAGATGGCTGAGCACTGATGAGACAGATGCCCAGGAGTGAGGTATGAGATCTCTAGGACTCAAAAGTGGGTCACTTGCATATCAAAGGATGTAGGAGTACAATGACATGATGTTCCAGATTTGCTTTCAGATACTTCCACAAAGAAAGAAATGGGCGAACTAAAGCATATGTAACTCCATCTGGATAACTGTTGAATCTGGGTGATGGGCACGTGGTGGTGGTGGTGTGGGGTTCATTTCATTGAAATATTCTATGTTTGAAGTGTATCAGTTGCAAGGGTGCAATGTGGGGTTATTGTTTGCTGTGCCCCAGCCGCGTACAGGCAAAATGCCCCAAACTCACCCCTACCTCAGTGATGTTCTAAACACAGAGCATGTTTGCGCCTGTTGGAAACATGAGAGGACTGTCAAAAGGACAGAAAGCCAGCTGTATAATTTGCAAGATGTTAGTTCCATTTGCCCCAGGACAGCATAAACATGGCAAATGGTTCATTGGTTGGAAGACAAGACAAACTCTGAGAGCGCCACCTTATGGAGACATTCTGACCCCCACCCCCACCCCGACCCCGGGCTCCCACCCCCCAATTCCCAGGGCCCCTGGCCTGTCTGCATCAGCCTTTCGGGATGACGGGCTTTCTCATTCCTGCAGGTCCCCTGCTGCAGACTTCTGATGGGAAAGGAATGGAGGAAGCCAACATCCGCCACCTGGTGCAGCCCAGAGGGCCGAGGAGCAGAGCAGGGCCCTGGCAGGGAGGTCGGAGGAAGTTCCGCCGCCAGCGGCCGCGCCTCTCCCATAAAGGCCCCATGCCTTTCTGAAGCAGGTACTTGGGCCTCAGGTTGGTGGGCGGCACAAAAGGGGCAGGGGAGGAATGGCCTGGAAGCTGTGTGGCCCTGCTGCTTATCACTGGCCAGACACTGGCACCAGGCAGTCTCGACCCCACACACAACATGGGGGCTTCCTGAGCATCCGTTTGGCCCCTGCAGCGAGGCCCAGAGAGGGGATTGACACACAGGGCCCATCTCCTGACTCCCCAGGAGTTGGATGCTGGCTGTCTTCCACCTTGCTGCCTGGGGTTGGGCAGGCTGGCCCCATTGGAAAGTTCTGGAAGTCCTGGGAGGCCTTGATGAAGTGGGGAGGGGTGCCTGAGGGTCTGTGTACAAGGTGCGCAGTGTGGATCCTCACAGACAAGGGAGGGAGGCAGAGGGCCTTGGGGGTGGCCTCCGGTGGGGAACAGGAACAGAAAAATCCAAGGTGGCCGCAAAATAGCAGGGCCTGAGCCTGTCCCCGAGGCCTGGCCTGCTGTCCTTCATCCTGTCGCCAGGACAGGGCAGCACCAACTCAGCGGTCTCCGGCTTTAGGTTCAGGCTTGTTGGGGGGGGATGAAGGCGATCTCGTCTCCCATCCCAGGTGGTTCCTTTGACCTAGGACATGTCAGTGACTCCTCTCTGGTCATTTTTCTCTCTTTAGGACTGAAGGGACCCCACATGCCCACCCTCTGCGATTCTCTCTGCTCCGTAGATCCGTAGATCCATCTGCTTCTCTGGAGCCCTCACATCTGCCACTTGGCTGGCGCACGTCTTAACAGCTGATGGTCCCGGCTCTCCTTCCCCACCAGCCTCCCTGAAGGGCGTGTCCTGCCCCTAGTTCCGACGATTCCCCTTCTCAAGCTCAAGGATCCCTTCAGCCCCTCTTCCTGACTTGGGAGACCCTGCACTGGAAGGCTGTCCTTCTCCCCGGCCCTCCCCTGCTCTAGTCCCTACCGCTTCCAGCGAACACCCTAACACGGAACCCTTCTCTCGGCCCTTCCTTCCTCAGGTCTGCCATGGGGGCTGGGTGGAACCTCCTTCCTTCAACGGGCTCCAGCAGACCCCTTCCCCTGACCTGCAGAGGGGAATGGAGAGCCGATCCATGGGAGACTCCAGTGAGAGGGACTGGGGCATTGGGATGCTGACAGGGTGCCTTGGAGGGCATTGCAAGGGGGCGTTGGTACTCCACCGGCAAAAGGCAGGTGAAGCATTGGAGGAGTGGAGGAATAGCTACTGTGGCCTCTTCCTCATCCTCGTGTTTGGCCCCAGTAAGGAAGAGGCCAGGAGCGGGGCCATGGAGTACACTGTCACTTCTCTCACCTCTCTGTGTCCCCTAACAGTCCCTCCCACTCACTCCCATTCCCCCACCCCCGCCCCAGCTAGTTCAAGCTCCAGCTCAGGAGGGGAGGGTACTGGGCCTGAGGTGGCTCTATACCATCCCAGGAGCAAAAGCCAAGCAGGATGATTGTTTTTGCCAAGAATCACAGCCAATCAGAGCCAAAAGGAACCTTGGAGATCACTTAGCTCCACCTCCTTATGCAAACTCCTGCAAACGAACTCAGGGGCCTGGAGAGGGATGGTGACCCGCTCAGTGTCCCCACAGAGCCAGGATGAGGGCCCAGGGCTCCAACTCCCACTTGGTGATGTCCTCTTCCTTCTCAATGATGCCTTTTCCAAACCCATTAAGTGCCTTTTCCTGGGGTTGGGACTGGGGGTGGCTAGGAAGGGAGGGACAAGCCGACTTTGAACTGCCCCCTGGTGTTGCGGGGATGGAGCTGCTCCCTCCTCCCTGGCCAGCCCCCACTGGTCCATTTTCCAACCTGGCCTAGAAAGTTCCCTAACTGCCCATGGCCCCCATTCCTGAAACGCGGGCAGACCCTGGGTACTGCCACAGTGGCAGCTCAGGCACCGAGACTACCTTTGCAACCCCAACACTGGTTTCCAGGAGTCAGGTGGTGGCCTTAACCAGTTGGACTCAACAGCTTTCCCTTTGTGTTAACCAGACCTTCTCTCCCAGCGGCCTTTCCTTGGGGAGGGGGTGGGGGAAGAAGAAGGGAGGGAGAGAAGGGAAGGAGGAAGGAAAGATGGGAGGAAGTGTAAGTTTGAGCAGACTTTCTTCTCAGAGGCCTCCTGGGAAGGAGAAAAGGGAAGACAAAAGCCTGACGACCTATGCATGGGTGGGATCAGGGGGGAGTCAGGGCCCCCCAAGTCCCACAACAACCCCATTTGCCTACCTGCTGCACCCCCTTCCCTCCGCTGCTGCTAACGCTGCTGCTGCTGCTGCTGCTGCTGCTGCTGCTGCTGCTGCTGCTGCTGCTGCTGCTGCTGCTTCAAAGCTCACCCTGGGGAGCCAGGCTGGGCACCCGCCACCCCCTAGTACCCCCACAGCCCAGAGTAGGGGCCAGCCAGTGCCCAAAACGCCCCTTCTGCCCTGGATGCCTCCACCGGGGACTGGGCCTTCTTCCCCCCCACCCCCATCTCCTGCCGCTGATACCAGCTGCCCAGCCCCACGGGGAGGGTGGGGGAGAAGGGGAGGGATGGCTGGGCAAGTCTGGAGACACAGGGCGGCGGATTGGGGCAGAGGAGGTGCTGAGGGGCTGTCTTATTTAAAGTGGTTGTTTATGATTCTTATACTAATTTATACAAAGATATTAAGGCCCTTTCCATTACAAAATCGTCCCCTTCCCGTAACTGTGTTCACTGTGTTTGTAAAGATTGTTCAGTGTAAATATGTCTTTATAATAAAGAGTGAAAGGCTGACAATTCGCCCTTACTCTTGGAGGTCAGGCTCAGGAGGGGCGCTCCTTTCCCCTGACGTCCATGGTCATCTCCCCGCCCATAAACTTCACGTGCAGCGAGAAAAGTGCCTGCATCTGAAATCAGTTCCAGGTCAAATGGCTTCAGACTAATTTGCCACAAACTCACAAAAGGAATCTCTATGCTTAACGACCAGTTCACAAAAATGCAGTCTACTTTTAGGTGTTTTGGCATCTGTTTGAGTGTCCTGATTTTTTTCTTTTGCACTGTCATTTAAAGGATTTTTAAAAAGCAATTTATTTAAGAATATTCTGACTAAAGAAGGGATTTCTACTAAAAATTGTTTTGTATCCTTGGCGCGTGTCTTCTATTTTTATCTACTTTTGAACAGTCTCGGGACTTTTTAGCCAGTTTGCCTTTCTTGAGAAATGTTATGTTTCCTGCAATAAATACATTTGGTCATGACTTTGTATGTATCATTTTCTATTTCACAAAGTAGAGTTGCTTGATAGCCTGAGAAATAAAATGCAAGGAGTTCGATGCAGTTCTGCCCCATCTGTCTCACTTCTTCATGCTTGTTGTCAAAATGCCAATATCCTGGAGAACATTGGGTACATGCTAATTTGGTTAATCAACTCATTAGGTGCACACCAGCATACACAATCCAGAGTAAAACCCAGTGAGGAGATAGGAGTCATCCAAAAGGTGCATTTGATAAATCTTGTGGGAAATTCTACAGATCTGACAAGTATTTAGTTCTAGAAATATACAATTTGAACAAGGGTCTTCAGACACTTGCTAAAAAGTCATAAAACCGCTCAATGAAAGATAAAATAGAAGATGCCACCCACAAGCACACAAAACAATCTCATCATTGACAAAATGTTACAGATTGTGACATAGTGATTTAAAAATACATTATGTTGGAAATGCCTCTGAGGAAAATTGGTACAAAATGCCGTCTTTCAAAATTACTACTTTGACTTTAAGACAAACTGGTTTTAGGCAAGGAGTTTTGGGATGAGCTGGCTTTACGCTGATTGGTCTGTTACCGCCTTAATCACCCCAAAGTTCTAATTTCACATGAAACCAAAGAGAAAGGGGTGGTGGCAGGGCAGGACAACTTAATACTGACCCATCGGTGTGTAGCCCTTCAACAGTTTGCAGAGCCTTTTAAAATTTTTTATTTCTTGGGGGGAGGTAATTAGGTTATTTGTGTATTTATTTACTTAATGGAGGTACTAGGGATTGAACCCAGGACCTTGTACATGCTAGGCATGCACTCTGCCACTGAGCTATACCCTCCCTGCTACAGAGCCCTTTTCTTTAAAGTCAATTCATTTTATTCTCCTGACAACTGGACAACACAGACCACCATCCCAATTTTACAAATGAGAAAACAGGCTAAGAGAGGTGAAGCAACTTGTCCAAAGTCTCACAGCCAGGGAGTGAAGAATCTAGAATCTGGACTTCAAATTCTAGAATGTAAGCTCTTTCTATAGTACTACAGAAGTTCCCCTAATTAGAGAGAAGACTTAAGTACAAAATGCGGTGTTCTCAGTAAGCATGATGGAAATAGACGGCGTGGTGTGGGCTGGTGGGATGAGAGACAGGCCAGTGCAGGCTGACCAACTAGCACTGGCCCCAGAAGACCCAGTTGCATTTGGTTGAGTTGGCAGGAGGATGGTGGACAGCGGGGTGGAGACAAGGGGAGTAGCCACCAGGGTCCTCCAGGCTTATGTCATCACTGAATGCTAGTGGGTGGCTGCAAGTCTGACCTCCTTGGGGCAGAGGATGAGGGGGAGGGAAGCCAGTGGCTTTTCTGAGAAGATATATTAGACATCAAACCAAAAGAAGGCGGGACATATAGGCTACCACCCTTTGGAGATATCTTGACTTGACCAAATAAATACAATCGAATCAACGTACGGGGTTGGTTTTGAAAATGCAGAAGAAAAAAGAAAAAGGAATTGACTTTTTGTTCACCAATTGTTTCTGGACGAAGAGGTTGGGGTGGTTGGGGGTGGGCAGAGAACCTGAAAAATAACAGGGCTTCAAATCCACCCAGAAATCAGGCTGCCCCTGAAATGACAGGGATTTGGGAGGCAAACAGACTCAGACCACGCAAAGCTTTTCAGGACCCCAGGTATGGTATAAAATGAGCCACAGTCAACAGCCACTTTGAAGCCTAACATTTGGGATTCTCCCACAAGCCCTGGCTGACTTGGTACCCCCTGCCCCAGGGCTGGGCTCCTCTGCTGCCTGGCCCAAACAGCCGTTCTGAGGTGCTTATACAATTTTATTTTTCAGGCCTAGTGGTTATTCAACTGGAATTTCTCAACCCCAAATTTCTGACTGGAGTGAGCCTGTGTCAGCTGACTGCCAAAGGGAATGGCAGAGAAGACTTAGTACCTTCCGTTCCGGCACTGCAAGGGCCTGCTGACTCTGTTCCCTGGAACCCCTCACATGGAAGGTCTCTTTTGAAAACCCAGTTTTCCCTACACCCTGGCCAGTGCTCAGAGACGGCCTCCTCTGGCTACTACTGCCTTGCACTGCAGTCAAAGGCCAGAGCTGCATCTAGGACATTTCCTAGACTGTTTCAAATCAGAGGTCAGCAAGCTTTTTCTGTCAATTGACTTGGCAGGCCGTGAGGTCTCTGTCCCAACTGCTCAAGTCAGCCATTGTCAGGCAAAAGTGGCCAGAGACAAAATGTAAATGAATCGGCGTGGCTTGTTTTGACAACCTTATTTGTAAAGACAGGTGGTGGGCTACAGTTTGCCAAACCCTGTCTCATGTGAAGCATCAGCAAGGCCTTCAACTCAGCCCTTGAACCCTTGCCTGGGGCCTGACAGGAAGACTTCCATTCTGCAGCAAGGTCTAGAATTAAGGGAACTGAGTGCACTGGTTAGGAGCTGGCCTCTGTGCCTTGTTATCTGATGATAATTGGGCTTTCAGTGGAAACGGAAGTTTGGAGTCAGATCAGGATTCAAATCCCGGCACCACTGTTTACTTCTTTGTGAGAATGAAAAGCCAGTGTCTTGATCTCAATGAGCCCTGTTTCTGCATCAGGCAGTATACTCTGCCTACTTCTCAGAGCTGGGGTCTGGATTGGATGTGATGATGCAGGTCAAGTGTTGGGCACAGTGCCTGGCTCATGCGATGCGCTTCCTAGTGGGAGCTCATATTATCTCTACTAAGCTTCACTCTAACCCTGAGAGGTGGACAGTACAGCCATCATTATCCCCAATTTATCGATGGGGAAACAGGCTCAGGGAGGTCAAGTGGCTTATTCAAGGTCATCGAGCTAATTGGCGAATGAAGCCTCAAAGCCGCTTCTGTCCTCAGTTCAGGTTAGCTGCTAGGGCTCTGCTTACAGGATGCTCCCCAAGCCCTGAAGGTCACAGGCAGGTGATGCCCAGATAGGAACCAGGGTTCGTTTCCCCATCAAAGCCCTTGCATTTCCCTGTGAAACATACACTTTCTTGCCAGACCGAGCATGGCCTTCACCACAATGGAGGTGACAATGCCCAAACCGATGACTGATGGGGGAATCTAATGATTGTACCTCCCAGCACGGGATCTAGAGGCTTAAAAATTCTGGCTCCTCCAAGTAGTAAGTCTGGGTCACACTTCACCTTTCTGAGCCTGTTTTATTGTTTCTAAAATGGAAAGACTAATCCCCAGCTTTCTCACAGGCTTGTAATGAGACTCAAGTGACATTTCTGAAGTTGAGGTTTGGTCCACTAAAGAGTGTGAGGCAGGTGTGAACAATGCCCTCCTCCACTGATGCCCAGTTTGCATGTGAAAGTGATTTGTCATCTGCAAAGTGCCATCGAAATTCATTTCTCAACACTGGACAAATGCTCATTGAGCGACTACTGGGTGCCGCATTCCTCATGACCTGGTGAGGGAGATCCGATGTTATTCAAAAGTCACAATAGCATGTCTGACCAGGACTGTGGTCAGCGCTCCTGGGACAAGTGCAGGACCCACAAACAATGCAGGATCCAGCTGGGGAGGGGAGTCAGAGAAGCTTCCTTGAGGACAAGTGTGTGGCAGGGGACTTTAGGGTGACTAGAGGTAAAGCCGAAGGGAAGTCCTAGCAGAGGGAGCACACAGCTTGAGTCCCAACACCAAGGAGGGAGTGAGGGTATGTGATTTATTCTTAAACCCATTTCCCAGACAGGAAGTGGGTCCGGGGAGGGGTTGTGACTTGCAAAATGAGAGCTTGCACTTAACTCCTGTGGGCTGGCTGATTCCCTTCCACACTCTGGGCTGGGCAGAGTGAAAGCAGGGCCCTGCTGTGGTAATTAAAACATCCTCTCCTGATAACTTGGCCAGTGCTCTATCGATTTCATCAGCTGCACGGGAGGGGCTGAGGCCCCACACCCACAGAACTGGGGGACTGGGTGCACCTGGGACTGCTTGCCGGCTGGCTGGACACTTCGCAAGCTTCTCAGATGTTCCACTTTCCTTGCGCTCCGCCTCCCTTTCTCCTCCACGCCCCTTAGTCTTTGGGCGAAATTCAGTGTGGCGTGGGAGGCTGCCCCCTGCTGGCTGAGCTTGGGAATGTCAGGGACTTCTCACCGGCCATTGAAGGAGCGCCCCTGAGGTCACCTCAGCCGTCCTGTTTCACAAGTGTGAGACAGAGCAGAGATCAAGGTGTGTGTGGAGGGGCAATCGGTTGGAGTTAGTCAACGATGACTCTTTTAGTTGCTTTTGCTGCAGGACTCTGAGTCTGAGCATGATTTTGTGAGTATGAGTGTGTACACCCCATGACTTGAGAGGGCGTGCGGGTGCGTCTACAGGTCATGGGCACAGGTGGGCTCTGTGTGTGTGAACACTGACTGGGCAGGTATGTGCACCTGCTCCTCAGTGTGCCGGTGTGCATGCTACCTGCTTGCACCTGGTATGCAGGTGGAGGACGGAGAGAAGTTGCCACCCAAGAATGCCAGAGTGAAATTCTCCAGCCTGTGGCTTCAAAGGGCAGCAACCAGCTCTTTGAAGTCCAGGCGGGGCTCTGTTTACATCCATACAAGACTCTCCTAGGCTGGTTCTCAGGCTGTCCCAGAGAGCATTTCCCTCAGTTTAACCAGTTTTCGCCCAGCAGGTATACCCCCGTGTCCTCCGCAGCTACTGGGGGAAATCTCCTAGCCTCTGGAGGCAACAGCAAATCTGATTTCTGCACGTGCCCATGGGAGAGGCCCAGAGAAGCACCCCCACACCTGCCAAGGCCAGATCCTGGGCTGCTTTTTTCCTGTGTGTGCTAGTGCAGCTTTCCTGGGCGTTCTTGAACATTCCAATTGATTGGCCCATGCCATGCTGGTTATTAAAGATTTTCAGTCATCCCTGTCCATTTCCTATGCTCCCAAGTAATATACCTATTTTAACCTGGAGCTTCTTGAGACCATGATTTAGAGTATTACTCTTATTCTGAAGCCTAACAGAAAGTTTTTTTTTAAACAGCCCTCTTCATCACCTCTGCAAATGGCATGAAAACCCTAGTCCACCTTACTAGTCTCAGCAAGCAAAATCCCTTGGTCA